ATTCAAAGCTGTCCTGCTGTCGTCTTAATGTCCTGCTGTGTTAATTCCCTGCTGTCATCCTAATGTCCTGCTGTGCTAATTCCCTGTTGCCCTGCTGTCGTCCTAATGTCCTGCTGTGCTAATTCCCTGCTGTCCTGTTGTTGTCCTAATGTCCTGCTGTGCTAAATTCCTGCTGTCCTGTTGTCGTCCTAATGTCCTGCTGTCATCCTAATGTCCTAGTATGCTAATTCCCTGATGTCATCCTGCTGTGGTCCTAATGTCCTGCTGTGCTAATTCCCTTGTGTCCTGTCGTCGTCATAATGTCCTGCTGTGCTAATTCCCTGTTGCCCTGCTGTCGTCCTAATGTCCTGCTGTGCTAATTCCCTGCTGTCCTGTTGTTGTCCTAATGTCCTGCTGTGCTAATTCCCTGCTGTCCTGTTGTCCTCCTACTGTCCTGTTGTCGTCCTAATGTCCTGCTGTCATCCTAATGTCCTAGTATGCTAATTCCCTGATGTCATCCTGCTGTGGTCCTAATGTCCTGCTGTGCTAATTCCCTTGTGTCCTGTCGTCGTCATAATGTCCTGCTGTGCTAATTCCCTGTTGCCCTGCTGTCGTCCTAATGTCCTGCTGTGCTAATTCCCTGTTGCACTGCTGTTGTCCTAATATCCTGCTGTGCTAATTCCCTGTTGCACTGCTGTTGTCCTAATATCCTGCTGTGCTAATTCCCTGCTGCCTTGTTGTCGTCATGCTGCCCTGCTGTGCTAATTCCCTGCTGTCCTGCTGTCGTCCTAATGTCCTGCTGTGCTAATTCCCTGCTGCCTTGTTGTCGTCCTAATGTCCTGCTGTGCTAATTCCCTGCTGTCCTGTTGTCGTCCTAATGTCCTGCTGTGCTAATTCCCTTGTGTCCTGTCGTCGTCATAATGTCCTGCTGTGCTAAATCCCTGTTGCCCTGCTGTCGTCCTAATGTCCTGCTGTGCTAATTCCCTGTTGCACTGCTGTTGTCCTAATATCCTGCTGTGCTAATTCCCTGCTGCCTTGTTGTCGTCATGCTGCCCTGCTGTGCTAATTCCCTGCTGTCCTGTTGTCGTCCTAATGTCCTGCTGTGCTAAATTCCTGCTGCCTTGTTGTCGTCATGCTGCCCTGCTGTTCTAATTCCCTGTCATGTCCCAGTGTGCTAATAGACTCAGACCAAGATATACCTGATTGCTAAGTATTGCTGTCATATCTCAGTGTGCTAATAGACTCAGGCCAAGATATACCCGACTGCTCAGTATTGCTGTCATGTCCCAGTGAAGGCACGTGTCCAACCCTCTGCAGGCAAGGTCATGCTCACGGTGTTTTGGGACCAGCACAGAGTAGTGATGATGGATTTCTTGGCAAAGGGTACCACAATTACAGGAGCTTATTATGCTTCACTGCTGCGGAAATTGCGGGACGCTATCAAGCTTAAGAGGCGTAGCATGCTGACCAGGGGTGTCCGTCTCCTGCAAGACAATGCTCCAGTACACAACGTTAACACTCTCATGTTGCCCAGACAGAAGCGCGGTCCTGTGGCTATGAAATCCTTCCACATCCTCCTTACTCTCCTGACCTTGCACCATCTGACTTCCACCTCATTTTTGAAGGGAAAAGGTTTCACAGATGATGAAACACTGATTTCTGAAGTCAAGTCCTGGTTTGAGACGCAAAATGAGGGCTTTAACAAGCGAGGTCTCCATAGTTGCATAAAACAATGGTGGGAGAAGTGTGTAACTCTTGGTGGTTCCTATGTGGAGAAAGAATAATACCTATGCCAAGTTTCATTCCACTAGGTCCATCGGAAGTGGGTCAGGAGAAATCTTTAATGAACACCCCTCGTATATTGAAAGGCACTTGCGATTCTGTATATAGACTATGTTCCGCGTTCTGTTGGGAAAATGTTCCTCAGATGAACAGAAATCACAGGCAAAATCCTTGTGTTAGGGTGAACACATCACTGTCCATTCCGCTGATTGGACAATATCACAGCCTATACCTATATCACATTTGTATAATATATTGAAAGGCACTTGGACTCTACATGTGGACAATATTCTGTATTCATTCCTTGTCATTGGAACAAAAATCATTCCAATTCTTTTATATGAGCCTGAGGTATAGGGTTTACACAATCTCATTAAAATCAGATCTAAGTTCTCGCTGCCGCTAAACAAAGATCTGAGGACATCCCATTACGGGTCACGTCAGAACGACCTTTTGCGAACTTTGACCGACCACTGAAACGAATAACAAGAAGTCGATATCAGCCAATGAGAAAGCAGCTTCCTCGAGCTTTACGGCACTCGTTTCAACCTGGCGACTTCCATTTCAGACTACGCTTGAAAAATATATGGACACAGTTCTCGATTAAAATTTTGAAAATTGCACAAACGAACAATCCGGAATGTCTAATATATGGTTGAGATTGTATGGAGTGCTTCCCACGTACTGCGCAACCCCTCCTCTGTTCAAATGTTTATCCCACGGAAGCGAGAGACAGACGATAATTTTGACGGAATCAGTCGTACGGGACGTAACTGTCGTTCGGAATACCCCGTGTTAACGTTTTCGAGGTTGCATGGTTAGAAAACACATTTCGACTTTAATGATCTGGTAAGCGACGCTTTCAATGGTTGGATGAAAGTCGTTCTGACGTGATCCCTAATGGGATGTCCTCAGATCTTTGCTTAGCGATAGCGAGAACTAAAGATCTAATTTTAATGAGATTGAGGGTATAAATCAGTTGGACTATTTAACTGAGCACTCATATGCATGTAAATAAATATGTCAAATAGAGTTGCATATAGTGAATGTGGTTGATTTCCAGGATATATATGTGCACAAGTTGAAAATTATAAGATATTGGCTAAGATTTCTTAAATATTATAGACATCCAAGAAAGTTTTATGGTATGATATCTATGTATGACAACAATCTAAAGCAAAAATGGGCTTTGCCTGCTAAAAAGGCTGATGAACGAATTAGGATTTGGCTATATTTGGTCGTGAAATGTTTGTTAATATATCTACACATGGATACATATTATATGTCAAAATGAAAATGGCACACATAATTTGCATTATCTCTAAAATGTTATTATTGTTTAGAACAGAAAAAATGCAACCAATCTTGTATAAATATAGAATTGCAATTTCCAGATTTAGATGCTTATCACACGTTTTGTTTGTTTGTTGTTTAACGCCACTCAGCAATATTTCAACTTTAATATGGTGGTCTGTAAATAATCAAGTCTGGACCAAACAACCCAGTGATTGACCTCATGAGCATCGATCCACAAAATTGGGATATGATGACATGCATCAACCAAGTCAGCGAGCTTGAACACCGCATCCCATTGGTCATCTCTTAAGACAATCATAGTTGCGTTTTATGGCAAGCATGGGTTGCTGAAGACCTATTCTACCCCAGATCTTCACAGGTCTTATCACATGTATTGAATAATGAAACAGGAAGAGGGATCAAAATCCCAAAAGAAGGTAGACTGAGCAAAAGGTGTAAATATATACATATCTTATAAGTTGTAACATCATCATGAGCTGATGTTTTTGCAGAACTCATCATTCTGAGGTATACTAGCCACATAAAGAAACTGTGCACGGAGAAAATATATTCTGGATTGAAGTACAACACAGCAAGAACAAAATGATGCAGACGCTGTAGCAGCTGAATGATCGGACCATAAGAAAATGCCAACGGGACCTGAACAACATCTGTTACGATGACGTCAGAAGATCAAAATGGAGTAGGGGGTCAAACGACAAAGCCACAAAGTCAATAACGGGTATGACCACCCTGTGCGTGAATCACAGCAGTGCATCGGCGACGCATTGAGTCCACCAAATGGGCATGGAAGGCCTGGGGAATGGCCTGCCATATCCTCCTCAAATCCTGTGCCAAGTCACGGACGTTATCTGGAGGATGTGGAAGACGACGCAGACTGCGCTCCATTTCATCCCACACATGCTCTATTGGAGAGAGATCTGGAGAATTTGCAGGCCATGGCAGTAACATGACATTGTTATGGTGAAGGAAATCCATTGCGACCCTAGCCGTGTGAGGACGAGCGTTGTCCTGTTGAAATGTCAATCCCGGGCCATGACGTTGCAGGAAAGGAATGACCACAGGCCTCAGAATCTGATCTCTGTAGCCAACACCGGTGAGATTGCCCTGAACTACTCCCAAAGGGGTTCGGTGCCATGCTGTTATCCCACTCCAAATCATCACAGAGCCACCTCCAAAACGATTCCTCTCCACAATACAGATGCGTGCATAACGTTCTCCCAAACGCCGGTAGACACGTTGGCGACCGTCACTGTGGGAAATGTTCAACCTCGATTCATCTGTAAAGACAACATTTCTCCACCATATTCGAGGTTGGCGAACATGATTTCGACACCCTCTTAGACGGTTGATGCGATGACGGTGTGTCAGGATGGGACGTATAGCAGGGCGTCGTGGTCCAATCCCGTACTGACGTAAACGATTCCTGACAGTTTTGGGATGGATACGGCGCAGTCCAGGAATTGTCTGGGACGTCGTTTCTGCCGTTTGGAACCTGTGTCGGAGATGTGTAACTCGAATCCATCTGTCCTGTCTTGGCGTCGTTACTCAGGGACGTCCTGAACGTGGGTGGTCGGCAACGTCATTTGTGTTCTGATAACGCCTCACCAATGCTGTGTTACGATGGCATTGGAAATGTGTTGCCACCTGTTGTTGCCTCATTCCCGCTCGGATCATTCCAATGGCTTCATGACACTGTGCAGCTGTCAATATTGGCATGATTTGCTTGTGATATGCTTGTGTCTGCGCCTGAGAAGTTTTGAATTTTTGAATGACCACAGATCATGCTTTCCAAAGTCACAGCGAATTTTGAGTTCCACATGCTGTGTACAGCTGCACAGAATGCACGTGCAGTAACACATTGCACGTCCATAGGCCCCCATCAGTGATGTCATATCGCATGGCACGTGCATGAGCGTTTGAATGTCTCCAATAATTGCTGTGTTCAAACCTATATTTCATATGTGGACGGTGTGCCCTTATATCTATATTTTCTCCGTGCACAGTTTCTTTATGTGGCTAGTATATGATAAATATGTTTTAAGAATATGAGTACCACTCGGTTGTCCTGTACCCATTTTATCAAAGTGTCTGCAAATAATCAAGAGTGGACTAGAAAATCTAGTGGTTGACATCATGAGCATTGACAAACACAATTGGGATACGATGACATGTGTCAACCAAGTCAGCAAGTTGAAAACCCAGTCCCTTTAATTGCTTTTCATGTCAAGCATATTTGACTCCTATGAAAAGCATGGGCTGTTCAAGATCAATTCTACAGTCTTTGTATTAGGGTGAAGAAATCCCCGTCACTCCTGTCTTAGTATTAGGGTGAACACATCACCATCACTCCAGTCTTTGTATTAGGGTGAACACATCACCGTCACTCCAGTCTTTGTATTAGGGTAAACAAATCACCATCACTCCAGTCTTTGTATTAGGGTGAACATATCACCATCCCTCCAGTCTTTGTATTAGGGTGAACACATCACCATCACTCCAGTCTTTGTATTAGGGTGAACACATCACCGTCACTCCAGTCTTTGTATTAGGGTGAACAAATCACCATCACTCCAGTCTTTGTATTAGGGTGAACATATCACCATCCCTCCAGTCTTTGTATTAGGGTGAACACATCACCGTCACTCCAGTCTTTGTATTAGGGTGAACACATCACCATCACTCCAGTCTTTGTATTAGGGTGAACACATCACCATCACTCCAGTCTTTGTATTAGGGTGAACACATCACCATCACTCCAGTCTTTGTATTAGGGTGAACACATCACCGTCACTCCAGTCTTTGTATTAGGGTGAACACATCACCATCACTCCAGTCTTTGTATTAGGGTGAACACATCACCATCACTCCAGTCTTTGTATTAGGGTGAACACATCACCATCACTCCAGTCTTTGTATTAGGGTGAACACATCACCGTCACTCCAGTCTTTGTATTAGGGTGAACAAATCACCATCACTTCAGTCTTTGTATTAGGGTGAACACATCACCATCACTCCAGTCTTTGTATTAGGGTGAACATATCACCATGCCTCCAGTCTTTGTATTAGGGTGAACACATCACCATCACTAGGGTGAACAGACAGCCTGTAACTTCAGGCCTTTGTTAGCATGGTCTCTATGACAAGAAACTTCTTGTATTTACAAAACATTGTTCCTTGACATACATTGCCAACAGCTGTTTCCAAACTTTGTCACATTCAAGAAGATTTGAATTTCCTGAAAAAAATCAAGTTGGCAGTCATCAGCGCAATTGTACATTAAGTAATGGTGACTCCTCAAACACAAAGCTGTCAAAAGTATTCAAACAAAGATGTTGAAGATATTATTCTTCAATTAAATCCCTTTTCTAAATTAACTGTCCCCTTTTATCTTTGTGACACTGATATGTCATCCCTAACACAGTGTTAGGTTTTGTTTGTTTGTTGTTTAACGCCGCACTCAGCAATATTCCAGCTATAAGACGGCGGTCTGTAAATAATCGAGTCTGGACCAGACAATCCAGTGAGTGATATCATGAGCATCGATCTACGCAATCAGGTAAGACATCTAAACAACCAACAGCCACAGATGGTGGCCAACAAAGAAAATATCTTATTAGCTTAAGAAGACAAAATCACATTTATCAAACATCCCCCATGGATGATAGTGGTACTGAGGTGCCAATAGTCTGATATATCCAACTGACTACCAAGTAGGGCTGTTCCGATTCACTTGTGTACTCAGTGAATTGAACCGAATTCATTCATGATTTGAATTCATTTTTCGTGGTCACTAGAATCAAATATTTATGAATATGCAGTCATGTGCATTTACATACCCTGTACCTAAAAATATCCATAAGAAGTTATAATATGCATACATAGATTTCTACAAACACAACACTCTTATAATATTTAATTTGACACTAATGTGGTCACTGGTCATTGTTGCATTTGAGCAGATACTAATTCCTTTATAAGTGCCATATATAATGATGATGATGATAATAATAATAATAATAATAAAAAAATAAATAATAATAATAATAATATAAAAAAAACCATGTCAAATAATTTATATTGTTATTGTTTCTCTGACTATAATAAATAATACATCAACTGCTCACTTGTTATTGTATTCGTGAATAAATATTCGTATTTGTTACCCTATATTCATGATACAGATCATATTCGCCTCATTGTGTACTCGTTGCAGCCCTACTACCAAGGCTATGACATCATCTCACCAATGATAATGAGTCCTTTCCTAGCCCGAGTGAGACCCACGTTGATCTGATTCTTGTCTGTGATGAACCCTAGGTTGTACTTGCACCAGCCTAGCGTTGGATTTCTCTCTAGCTTGTAGTGGGGCAGCGATCTGACTGTGCTGAATATAACATAGTCCCACTCGCTACCTGACAATCCAACAAAATAATGGTTGTTTACCACAAACAAGTTGGTTTCAGAAATTAAATTTTTTGTTTCCAAACAAAGTAGGTAAACTGATAAAACCAACTGACTTTCCAAAACATACTTCCACAGAGTGAGTGAGTGAGTGAGTGAGTGAGTGAGTGATTGATTGATTGAGTGATTGAGTGAGTGAGTGAGTGAGTGAGTGAGTGAGTGAGTGAGTGAGTGAGTGAGTGAGTGAGTGAGTGAGTGATTGAGTGGGTGGGTGGGTGGGTGGGTGAGTGAGTGAGTGAGTGAGTGAGTGAGTGAGTGAGTGAGTATGGTTTTAAGACGCTTTTAGCAATATTCCAGCAATATCACGGCGGGGGACACCAGAAATGGGCTTCGCACATTGTACCCATGTCGGGAATCGAACCCAGGTCTTCGGCGTGACGAGTGAACACTTTAATCACTAGGCTACCCGACCGCCCCCACAGAAAATATAACTTGTGTGAGATCAAATGATAGCTCTGAGGAGATAACGCTTTTCTGAGTACCCATTGGTAAATTAACGTTGTCTTCAAATGTTCAAATCTTTAAACCCTGTTTTAGCCTACCATGTACCTAAAAACTCTGTCAATTCATTTTATTACAAACAGTCAAACACCAGTCACTCACTGTTGTCACAAGATACTTGTGTCGAAATTGACACTGCATCAGTTGAGTCCATTTCTGTATTACAGGGACAAACATTTCAAGTACATGTATTTAATTTTAATCGATTTCTGTGATATTTTCTCAAAATATTATGACATATTTGTTGGTATCGACGCTGGATCAAATACTTCTCCACAGTTATGCTCTTCAGAGAAACATGAGCTACTAGGGACTTCAGATTTCTGTCCAGGGTGAGCGAGTGAGTATGGCTTAACGCCGCTTTTATCAATATTCCAGCAATATCACGGGGGGGAACAGCAGAAAAGGGCTTCACAAATTGGATCCATGTTGGGAATCGAACCTGGGTCTTTTACCACTAGGCTACCCGACCGCCCCTGTCCTGGGATTCCCACTGGGAGACAAGCATGGGACACTGGGGAGCTATTCTACTCCAGAATCATCACAGGGAGACAAGCGTTGGACAATGAAGACCTATTATTGAAAAAAAATAATTAAAAATTGTCTGCCACAAAATTGACATCGTGGCAATGTGTTTTTTAAAAAAATATATAAAAAATTTGCTCATAGTTTTTATTGAAAACATATCTGGTTTTGCAGCCATAGCTGAAAAAAATATCTGGTCTCAATACAAAATCCCATGCCCCTCCCAGAATATGAAATGGTTGGTCCCGAAGCAAGAACAATAACAACCATGCACTATGGCCGTCTGTCTACCTTGACTAGCCACAACAGTTTGAACAGTTAGGTCTTCCAGCTGCTTGGCAAGATGAGGATCTTCAGTTAACTTCTCCTCCAATTTTCTTTTAATGAGACTTCTCTGTGCATTGTATTGAGTCATTAGGTTGATGTCCTTCACAGGGATCTGTTCCACCTGAACAAGGTACAGGAACGCCTCCACCTGAAAATACCAATATATAGTCGCATAGCTTAGCATGCTAAGTTTAGCACAGATTTGTATGTTTATGAAAGTGGAAACACTCTTTTCTGTTGTCTTATAATGCCAGACTTTTATTTCTTGACTTGAAAAATGAAATAGCTGAATATGTTGCGAAATGTGTTTGCTGAGTAAGTTTTCTGGTGTATTGCCGCATAACAGAGTTGTGAGGTGTGGAACTTGTAACTGCCATTCGAAATGTCTCGTGACACACTCATAATTCCGTTCAACAACTAAGACTTATGGCAAGCTTAATTAGGAGATAAACCTTACGGTTTCAATGTGAACACATAACAGATAGATCACATATTTTTCTGCCAAAGACAGAAGAACAAAGAAAGAAAAAATACATCGCCTCAATCTACCAATAGGATGGAGGAGACATGGAAGAAAAAACAACATCCGCCTTAATCTACCAATACGATGTTACAGAGATGAAAGAAAGAAAGAATACATCGCCTCAATCTACCAATACGATGTGGGAGGAGAGATGGAAGAAAAAACAACATCCGCCTTAATCTAATGAATACAATGTTACAGAGATGAAAGAAAGAAAAAATACACCGCCTCAATCTACCAATACGATGTTGAAGGAGAGATTGAAGAAAAAACAACATCCGCCTTAATCTACCAATACCATGTTACAGAGATGAAAGAAAGAAAAAATACACCGCCTCAATCTACCAATACGATGTTGAAGGAGAGATGGAAGAAAAAACAACATCCGCCTTAATCTACCGATAAGATGTTACAGAGATGAAAGAAAGAAAAAATACACCGCCTCAATCTACCAATACGATGTTGGAGGAGAGATGAAGGAAAAATTGATTTATAATGCATGGAATAAGGTAAAACGGGTTGATTTAGGGAAATATGAATCTCAAATCAAGTACTGCATGTGAGTTTTTTATTTTTAAAACACCGAATAATCACAAAATATCTTTGCAAAAGACATGTCAGCAGAAATGATAGTTTAAACCTCGATATATAATAAGTTTTTTCGAATTTAAAGGAAATAGTTTCAGCCGATCCATGATGTAAAAAATAAAAACAAATTGGCCTACTCTCACTCATCATGAAATATCCGCGGTAAGACAACTGACCAGTTTGTCAGCTTCCTTCCTGTTGGACTTGGACTGTTCGTTGCCCTCCTGTGTAGTGACAGTGAGGGTCTCCTCCTCCCCCTCCACGTGGCAGAACACCTTGGGGTTGGTGGTCACCGGCCAGATGGACAGCTCCTGCCCCGGGGGAATGTACCAGTCAGCATCCTCTGCATTGGGAGGACCAGTCTCCAGCTTACCAAGGTAAAACTGGTTCTTTGGAAATTTGCTGATTTGCGGATGCTGAAACAAATTAAATGTTAAGGATATCACTGTGACTGTCATAATTCAACGGAGTAGATTTACTTTGATATAGCCCTAAAACAGTATGAGAAAAAGGTGACTGGTCCCTCATCCCTGTCATGATGGTTTATGTGAGTGAGTGAGTGAGTGAGTGAGTGAGTGAGTGAGTGAGAGAGTGAGAGTGAGTGAGTGAGTGAGTGAGTGAGTGAGTGAGTGAGTGAGTGAGTGAGTTCTGCCCAGTGGTCACTAGTCCACAAACACCCCCAGTGGAACAATGACCAACTATCAGCCATTCTCATATGTATCAGTCATAAACTCTATATGATTGTAGCTGGGTGTCTCAAGTTGAGAATATGTGTATGGTTAGTTAAAGTCAGGCTGATAACCATGGAAAACTAAGTAATTCATACTAATGCAATTGTAGCAGGGCATGGAGTCATCCCACAGATGATAATATAACATGTCATAGCTGCTACATTGGTCACACTTTGATGGGATTCAAACCATGGACTTTCTGATCTGAGTTCAGACGCCTTGTCCACATGACCAAATAAGCCAACCTGTTAGCAGCTGACACGGCCAGGATGTCATCTGTGGGATGACTCCACACCCTGCCAAAAACTGAACACATCAGTCCCTTTGTAGTGCCTTAGTTGTAGTCCTTAGTTGCAGTCCCACTCTTCAGCCTGAACTGAGAATTTGAAAGGCAACACTTAAGATGGACAGCTGAATGAATGCCAATGTGCCATTTCATAAGCTCACTAGGACACTACTTGTATACAAACAATGTTTTGATGTTATGCTTATTTATCATCGTTTATTTGGCCAGGCATGATGTAACATTTCCTGAAGCATTAACAAAACAATTTAGAAAAGTTTATTGTCCATGTAATTTACCAAAAAATCAAAACCTTGATTTACTTAGGAACCAAAAGCCAAGTTACACTGGTAATTCTAACAAGATGGCATCGAGAGCACAACATCCCCCGCATGAATTTTTTTAACGAGTTTATATTTTCTTTGTATCTTATGAAATAACAACAGCAGATGGCACTGCATTTGAAACAAATTGTGCAGAACATTTTGTTGGGAGTAATCCAGTCTGAATGCTAATGCCATAGGGATGTAGCTCACCCACAAAAGCCTTATACAAGGAAACCAAGTATAGTTATAGTTATAATTAGATATTGTGATATTCTCTGGAAACTGGAGGAGGAGTAGATTTCATGAAGCTCCGTAAAACAGGGGCAGTAACTCTGTCAAAATTTGTCGAAATGAAACGGGACTGCGATATGCATATGTGTATCATCAACATGTCAACATCTTGTTAGTAGAGTTTCAGGGTTATTCTCTGGAAACTGTAGGAGGAGTTGATTTCACAAGCTTAGTACCCTCTGTGGGATGGACAGACGGACGGACGGACTGTGCCACGACAATATCCTCCTCTGGCCATTCTGGCCCGGAGAGGGATAAAAACCCATGGTAAAACTCTTACTCTTATGCCTGAAGATCTGACCCGTGACCTGTAAAAGGTGCCTATGCTTGTTGTAAGAGGTGACTAATAGGATTGGATGGGATGACTTGGTTGATGCATGTTATCGTATCCCAATTGTGTGGATCGATGCTCATGATGTCAATCACTGGATTGTGTTGTCCAGACTTGATTATTTACAGACTGACATCATATAGCTGGAATATTGCTGAGTGCGGCTTTAAACAACAAACAAACAAACAAACAAACAAACAAACAAATAAACCATGACGATATTCCTCCCAATAGTTTCTAAACAATATAAGTGTTAAAATGTTTGAGCCATGTACCAGGTGAGCTAGTATGTTTGTAAACCAATGTGCTTATTGAAATCCACACAATGGTGACAGAACCAATCATTTCCTAATCCTTCGTAATCCTTCCACCGGTGAACGCAAATCATATGTCAATAGAAGAATCGATTCCGGGGTAGAATAGGTCATCAGCAACCCATGCTTGCCGTAAAAGGCGACTATGCTTGTCGTAAGAGGCGACTAATGGGATCGGGTGGTCAGGCTCACTGACTTGGTTGATGCATGTCATTGATCCCAATTGCGCGGATCGATGCTCATGATGTCAATCACTGGATTGTCTGGTCCAGACTCGATTATTTACAGACCGCCGTCATATAGCTGGAATATTGCTGAGTGCGGCGTTAAACAACAAACAAATTGTCAATAGAAATGGGGTCTCTCTGATGGAATATGAAAGAGATGATTTTACAAAACTCTTTGAAACCAAACTCGGACCCTTTATACTGATATACTTCCATGAATAAAGATCCCTCTTATAACCTTATGCCTAATATCAATATGTTTTCAGCAATGTTTCTGCTGAATGAGTATTCCATACTAAAACCAAACTATTTCCACTGTGTCCATTAGCGACTGTAACCTATTATGATATCAGTGAGAGTCACTAAACATGACAGTTGTAATATGCTATTCATAGTCAAGGTGAGGTGTGGTGAAATGGGATTTAACGTCGCTTCCAAGATACCATGCCGCAGTTTAACATGAATACCCCACTCAGATACAGTAGACCAACTCTAAGCCAACCAGTCCTAGTAGTATAGGTAATGGGGGTTCTGCCGCAACTCCACTGGAGCCGGATTCATATACCTATACTGCTACTACAGGTGGCATTTTTTATGCGTAAATGATGATGCGATTCAATGATAGTCATGAGATTAAGCTAAATTGGGTCTAGCTCACCAATACTTGGGGCCAATCATTGCTTCTATTAGTATAAAAATGATGATGCGATTCAACGATAGTCATGAGATGTATTCAACGAAACATCAATATTAATTAATAATGAATAAAATTTACTATAGCCCACGAGGATATTGGAAAGGTGTAGGAGCAATAAAAAAATTAGCCACCGCGGCTAAGGTATCTAAAGATGTAGCCAAGGATTGGTTAAAGAAACAAGCGATGTGGCAAATATATTTACCGGCACCGCGTTATATACCGAGGAAGAAGTTTGATATTTTTACAACGAATGAAGTTCATCAGGCTGACCTCTTGTTTCTTCCCCATGATAAGGTAAAACGCAAAACGTATAAATACGCTTTAACAGTAGTGGATGTGGCTAGTTGATACAAAGAGGCTGAACCATTAACCTGGAAGGATTCAACAGAAGTAGCTAATGCACTGAGCCGCATATATAAATGCGGGCCACTAAAATGGCCTAAGCTATTTCAAGTAGATCCCGGTCGCGAGTTTATGGGATCGATAACAAAACTGTTAACAAAGCACAATGTCGAAATCGTCCGTGGTGAAAGAGAGGCCCACCGCAGTCAAGCGAGATTAATAGGGAAGAAACCATCCGATGCGATTAAAATGAAATCCGTGACTTCCGAATCTTCAGCACCGAGGAGAGGCAAAGAACGAAAACTTCTGGATAGAGTAAGGGTAAGATATTTATACCAGCCCGGTGAACTCGAAGGAGGCCTACGTCGCGCAACCGATCCCATATGGTCCCTTAAGACATATAACATTAGTCGATTGGTTACGAAAGAAGGAGAGCCTATTCTTTATTATCTTCAAGATGGACCGGGTAGGGCATTTGTACGAGAAGAGTTGTTCATAGTTCCCGACGGTACGGTATTACCACCATAACCATAAGCATAGGTAGTTACACCATCATAATCAATCCATCTCTTTGTATCTAAGGGGGATAATGATGTCTTGTTCATTCTTAATCCATATATCCTATGATTGTAACTTCTTAAAGAGTCCATCTCGTGTTTGAACGTTCTACCGTTGAATAATGATTCTTTATACTGTTCGTGTTTGATATGCTTTTTTACAACATACTTCTTAACACCCTTAGCTTTTCTTATCTCTCCATTATCAGCCTTTTTTATAGAATACATCTTAGGTCTTAATCCGACATACTCTGCTATAGGAGTCCCAGCACATTCATCCTTCATCTTACCTAACACCTTTTTATTTACAACGCTGTGCAGTGGACCTATACTACTGTCCTTCTTTTAGCCACTTAATGCTGAGCACCAGACAGGGTAACAAAAAGTACCATCTTTTAACATCTTATGATATGACTCGGTCAGGGATTCAACCCAGGACCTTCCGCTCTCCGGGCGGATGCCCTCCCACTAGACCAAGGAGGCAGTTACTCATACACAAGCCTGTATGGAGCGTGATTCATTAACCTTTAGCCTGCTGAATTATTTTCACACTTCTTACCCCTGCCTGCTGGATTAATTTTAGCATAAGGCGCTCTAAAGAGGGTTGGTGATTTCAAACAGTCGGTGCCTCATTAAACAAGGGCCAATTGAAGAAATATTTGGCACATTTATTCCTGATAGAAAATTACACAGTACTATATAAAAATATCCCGATGTTTTCAATCATACCAAGGTTAAGACCAAAGCGAACACAAAATTTGTTAATTCTCTTGAACTTACCTCAATTGCGTTATTGAAGGTGGTTTGCGTTTCATGCTAGGAACCTTTTAATATCGTAACATTTGTGCAAATTGATTTCAATAATTATATCTCCGATATCTTAATTTTAATTGAGTAAAAATTTTTGGGGTTTTATCGGCAAATAACAGCACGATGGTAAATTATGAACCATTACAGTAAATTTACTATCTAAACGTTAAACAGAAAAAGAACTTAATTTTCGAGGTCATCATTTCGGTTGCAGAAATAGGAACATTCGGTTTAATCTGACGTGGCATGTTATAAAATTTGCAGGAAACAATTGATGACTTATAAATATTCACTAATCCTAATTAACAACAAACAAACAAACAAACAAACCAGGCGCATCCCTGGAGCTACTCACCATCCGGTACTGGACATTCAGGAAGGCAATATTGGCCCTGTATCTCTCAAACAGCGACTGGTCAAGGCCCAGGTCAGCTGCGGCAGTGCACTTCACAATGGGCCGCAGCTGCTGGTGGTCGCCTATCAGCACCACCTGTTCTGCCTTCGTGGCGATGATGGGGATCATAGTCTGAGGCTCTGTGCACATGCCGCTCTCATCGATGATGACCTGATGGATGGTGGTTCCCTTGGTGAGACTCACACGTCCAGCCACTACGCACGTACAGAGAATGACATCACGCTTCCCCAGTTCTTCCTTCTCAGCATCAGTTATCAGTTTCTCATACGCTTTCACATCTTCCAAGGTAATATTTTCCTGAAAACAGTTGTACTGTATATCACGTATCACAATTTAAGAAAGATGTTGCTCATCTGAGATTTGGAACATCTGCAACCGTTCAAATTGTATATGATTTGAAATTAAGATCATATAGGGCACTGACAAATAAACAAAATGAAAATATATAAATAAAATCTCACATTTGTATATGAAATACATTCGTTTGAAAAAAGGTGGAGTATGTGAGTTGGGTTATATATGCTTTGAATATTATTTCAGTTATATGACAATATGCCAGTTTAATATTGGAGATAAGCGTAAGGAAATCCGTTTTGAGTATGGCGCTGACAAATCATAATCTGTGTGAATCCAGGTAATAGAACCATCACCAGTGGATAAATCTGTGCAAAGTTAAGGGATGCAACTCCGCACAGTGAAATGCACTACCCAAGTTACAACATTGGACGGGGGGGCGGACACCAAAAATGGGTTTCACACATTGATACATGTGAGGAACGCTATGACCACTTAGCCTCCCCACCCCTCTACAACATTAGAACAAAGTGACATATTCAACATGGTTGTCACCTCACATATCGGGTACCCATTCCCTGCTGGGTAAAAAGTGACAATTGAACTAAGTCACTCGACAGGGTGAAACCACACGCTTTGACACTTGTGTCACAGGTGTATGAATGCATTCGTGTTTCCACCATCTGGTCATCTACCATCGGACGAGTGGGTTCTTTGGAGTGCACCGGGTGTATGTACTGTACACCAGGGCTAGTGACAACACTGGGGACTGTTGGTCCCAAGGCTGAACAACAAGCCAGTCACTAGCGGGATATGATCTCAGCATTTGGCGTTTGCTAGCCTGGCGCCTTTGAGCGCTTGCCCACTCCACCCCCATGTATGAGTGTGTGACATACGCGGCTCATGTAGCATGTTACGAATTTCCTGCAAATTATTTCTGAGTGCATCTTCCTGAGGCAAGGTAGTTAACTGTAAAAGTCCAGTTTCCACCCTTGCCGAACTAGGCTGGAATTTCTGACCTCGATCAAGCGCCACAAGTGGCTATTATGAGTTATGTCCCATCTCTCTCCCTCCTATTGACCAATCAGATTCCACTTTTCATATCACTTGCATTTACTTCAAACAAAATGGCAGAGCCCAGTCAAGACGATCTGATCGATAATCAAGATATTGAGCATCTTGATTAAAAACATGAAAAGATTTGGAAAATATCTGTTGACGCTGAGTGGGCCATACACATGCTTTGCAAATCCTGCAGTCAATGGTTGGTTGGTTGGTTTGTTGTTTTACGCCTCACTCAGCAATATTCCAGCTATATGATGGCGGTCTGAAAATAATCGAGTCTGGACCAGACAATCCAGTGATTAATATCATGAGCATCGATCCACACAATTGGGATCGATGACATGCATCAACCAAGTCAGCGAGCCTGACCACCGGATCCCGTTTGTCGCCTTTTACGACAAGCATAGTCACCTTTTACGGCAAGCATGGGTTGCTGAAGACCTATTCTACCCCGGAATCTTCACGGGTCTGCAGTCGATGGAAATCTGCACCACAGTTTAACAATTGGATGTCGCTTTGTAACGAGATTGGACTATAATATATGCAAAGACTTGTAAGTCCAGCCAAAATAGAACTCCATAATTCCAGCCTAGTTCGGCAAGTGTGGAAACTAGACTTTTACAGTCAGTTAACTCCCTTGCCCCGGGAAGACGTTGTGAGTGATGAAGGCAGAAGGTAGCTCTGATGTGAAAGTGCTTGATTGTCACACCCTAACTTGATTTGATTCCAGCATTGGTTCAATGTAAAACCCATATTTGTTTACCACAACATGACAGTGCTGGAATACTGCTGAAAGCACTCTTAGAGATTTGCCTGATTGCCTTATTTGATAGAGGTGAGCAACAACACTGTTTTGAAATGCGACGTTCCCAACTTTGCTACCTACCCGCGGTGTCACATTGGGGTCGAGGTACCTGCGGAACTTTTCATCGTAGACCCTGATTTCTGAAGCATGTGGTTTACCATCTTGTCTGATCACATGGTGCAGTGTAACTTCTCTCAGTTCTGGATCTGACTTTAGAATTTTTCTCCTCTTGTTGGAAACACCAATCTTAATGGGAACTGGGAAGTCCACTTGTTCAACGCTCTTGCCATAAACACGAAGGATATCTGGACATAAGTCCTTGCCCAGTTTCTTCAAAAGAGAGCCTGTAAATAAAGAGAACTATGCATAAGAATATCAGACTGTTCCAATTGTGAAGCACTTGAAAAAACACATGGACGGTAATGGACTGGTTAAAATATATTTCAAGCATGTTTTTAGTACATTTACATATTATTAATAATGAAACTTCTCTTTAACATACATGCAACACCAAATTTATAAGTTTGCTATTAGGAATATTGTAAATAATTACCTACGAGTGCAAACATATCGGGGTTCAGAAAAATCATATGTGCCCTAAACAACAGCAATCTCATTAAAATCAGATCTGAGTTTTCGCTGCTGCTAAACAAAAATCTGAGGACATCCCATTACAGGTCACGTCAGAACGAATTTCACGAACTTTGACCGACCACTGAAATGACTAACAAGAAGTCGACATCAGCCAATTAGAAAGCAGCTTTCTCGAGCTTTACGGCACTCGTTTCAGCCTGGCGACTTGGATTTCAGACTATGCTTGAAAAATGTGTTGACACAGTTCTCGATTAAAGTTTTGAAAACTGCACAAACGAACATTTCGGAATGTCTAATATATGGTTGCAATTGTATGGCAGTGCTTTCCACGTACTGTGCAAGCCTCCTCCGTTCAAATGTTTATCCAACGGAAACGAGAGATAGACGATAACTGATGGATGGACTTATTGATGTAGCAGATGGTTGGACTGATGGATGGACTGATGGATAGACTGATGGATGCAACAGATGGATTGATTGATGGACGTAACAGATGGATGGACTTATTGATGTGACATATGGATGCAACAGGTGGATGGACAGATGGATGGACTGATGGATGTAACAGATGGATTGATTGATGGACGTAACAGATGGATTGATTGATGGATGTTTTTTTTTGGTTTGGTTTGGTGTTTAACGCCGCACTCAGCAACGTTCGAGCTAAATGACGGCGGTTTGTAAATAATCAAGTCTGGACCAGACAATCCAGTGATTGATATCATGAGCATCGATCCACACAATTGGGATCGATGCCATGTATCAACCAAGTCAGCGAGCCTGACCACCCGATTCCATTAGTCGCCTTTTACGACAAGCATAGTCACCTTTTATGGCAAGCATGGGTTGCTGAAGACCTATTCTACCCCAGAATCTTCACGGGTCGATTGATGGATGTAACAGATTGATTGATTGATAGATGAACAGAATATGGATTGATTGATGGACGTAACAGATGGATGACTGATGGATGTAACAGATGGATTGATTGATGGACGTAACAGATGGATGGACTGATGGATGCTACAGATGGATGGACTGATGGATGCTACAGATGGATGTCTGATGGATGTAACAGATGGATGACTGATGGATGCTACAGATGGATGACTGATGGATGTAACAGACGGATGACTGATGGATGTAACAGATGGATGGACTGATTGATGCTACAGATGGATGACTGATTGACGTAACATATGGATGACTGATGGACGTAACAGATGGATGACTGATGGATGTAACAGATGGATGACTGATGGATGCTACAGATGGATGGACTGATGGATGCTACAGATGGATGACTGATGGATGTAACAGATGGATGGACTGATGGATGCTACAGATGGATGTAACAGATGGATGACTGATTGATGTAACAGATGGATGGACTGATGGATGCTACAGATGGATGACTGATGGACGTAACAGATGGATGACTAATGGACGTAACAGACGGATGACTAATGGACGTAACAGATGAATGGACTGATGGATGCTACAGATGGATGACTGATGGATGTAACAGATGGATGACTGATGGATGTAACAGATGGATGACTGATGGACGTAACAGATGGATGGACTGATGGATGCTACAGATGGATGACTGATGGACGTAACAGATGGATGACTGATGATGTAACAGATGGATTGATTGATGGATGTAACAGATGGATTGATTGATGGATGTAACAGATGGATGGACTGATGGATGTAACAGATGGATGGACTGATGGATGCTACAGATGGATGACTGATGGACGTAACAGATGGATGACTGATGGATGTAACAGATGGATTGATTGATGGATGTACCAGATGGATTGATTGATGGACGTAACAGATGGATGACTGATGGATGTATTGATGGATGTAACAGATGGATTGATTGATGGACGTAACAGATGGATGGACTGATGGATGTAACAGATGGATTGATTGATGGACGTAACAGATGGATGGACTGATGGATGCTACAGATGGATGGACTGATGGATGCTACAGATGGATGACTGATGGATGCTACAGATGGATGACTGATGGATGCAAATGATGGATGGACAAATTGATTAATGGACATACAGAAGGATGAGATGGATTGATGCGCCAGATGGATGACAGAATGATATATACGGATGGACAAAGCTTGTTTAATTATTCCAGACCTATATTTTGGTATGAGAAACTATAGCTAAAACTAAAAATCAATTGGAAGTGAAAATAATCATCAGAGCCATTGTATCCTTACGCGCAACCAGATCCACCGACTTGTTGGATGGTCCACAAAAAAGGACCTGCTTCCTTTCGGGGTCCTCGCCCTCCCTCCACATCTGCTTGTTGATTTTGACAAAGAGGAACACCAACTTCACTCCAATGCTGGTCTTTCCCGTGCCTTCATAAACAAGAATACATCATGTACCTACATGCATCATACCAGGAATAATGGGAGGGACATGTCAGTGTCTTTCATAAACAAGAATACATCATGTACCTGCATGCATCATACCAGGAGTAATGGACATGGTAGGGACATGTCAGTGTCTTTCATAAACAAGAATACATCATGTACCTGCATGCATCATACCAGGAGTAATGGACATGGTAGGGACATGTCAGTGTCTTCGTTAACAAGAATACATCATGTACCTGCATGCATCATACCAGGAATAATGGGAGGGACATGTCAGTGTCTTTCATAAACGAGAATACATCATGTACCTGCATGCATCATACCAGGAGTGAGTGAGTGAGTGAGTGAGTGTGTATGTGTGAGTGAGTGAGTGAGTGAGGGTGTGAGTGAGTAATTGTGTATATGTGAGTGAGTGAGTTAGTGGGTGGGTTAGTGGGTGTGTATATGTGTGTGAGTGAGTGAGTGAGTGAGTGAGTGAGTGTGTATGTGTGAGTGAGTGAGTGAGTGAGGGTGTGAGTGAGTAGTTGTGTATGTGTGAGTGAGTGAGTGAGTGGGTGGGTTAGTGGGTGTGTATATGTGTATGTGTGAGTGAGTGAGTGAGTGAGTGAGTGAGTGAGGGTGTGAGTGAGTAGTTGTGTATGTGTGAGTGAGTGAGTGAGTGGGTTAGTTGGTGTGTATATGTGTGTGAGTGAGTGAGTGAGTGAGTGAGTGAGTGTGTATGTGTGAGTGAGTGAGTGAGTGAGTGAGTTTCACTGTTTTAGTTACCAGGCGGCCCTTGTATTAAGCTGAAAGGATACTCCAGGGCTCTCCTTATAGCCTTTGTCTGATTTTCATTGTTGATTATCGTCATTGAAGAAAGGCTTCTCTCTTCATCCGTCAAATCTGTTGGACTTTGCATGCACAAGGCCAGCCGATGAGACCCTGCAGGTAGAAAATAAAGCTGTGGACCATTGTTGCTCTGACACTGGACAAAAAGGTTTAAGATTTAAGGATGGTAAATATTTTATGAGATCCTGAATATTATGACTCAGTTCAAGTCAAGGCTAGCTGACAAATTAGAAACAACCAGAGGAAGCATGTTCTTTCTCTCTCTGACATTAGCAGTGAGGCATTGCTGAATGAGGTCTGGGGTGCCCTGGTCTAGGTACTCCAGGACACCCAAACCTTCCTGTTCTGACCTGGCACATGGTTAATATATCCTACAACGTACACATCTAGTGATGAGATACTGAACTTTATTACCTACGAGGGCAAACATTTCGGGGTTCATAAAAATCATATGTGCCCTAGGGTCATATCACATGACGAGACAAAAGTGTACTGACCCTGTCAGACGGATGGTATTGTTGATGTCATTGGAATCTCATTGTGACTGACGTAAGGTCGGAATGTCACACTAGAAACAATGTCATAGCAAAAGATTGTTGACTTGCTGTCCTTATAGGTAAACACTGAAATTCGTCTCTGTATGTGGACATCTTCTTCGGTAATAAAAAGAATGTTATATTTGTGTTCATGTCATACTATGTTTACAACACTCGTGCCTATATTCTGGTATTACCATCACTACCATGCGGGAAATACCAAAATATGAACACGAATATATTATCCTCTATTTATCATATAATGGATAGGTTTCTCAGGATAAAGCCAACGGATTAAAACGAAGGGGTCATATCTGGATAGAAATGCAAATATCAAAGGTCAAGTAGAAACTACCTTCAGTGTTTATAAACAAACATGGCGTCGCCTTTGTCATTCAGAGATCAAGTCAGAATTAACCATCGGGAATCTGGAAAACTCCTGGGATAATTGCTATCATTAGCAAAAGAATAGCCTTATATACTGAACATCAGTGTCTAACTGTGACGTAGAGGAGGCATTTTACAAGTTTTTCCAACTTTAGGGACATAAACCGAGAAACAATTTTGCATGGGCACTAGGCTAGCCAAGTGGAATCAGTTGCCATATCTGCGCTTGTAGACCTCTGGGGCTTGGAACCTTTTCCAAAAATTACAACAGTTGGATTTGGCCAAAATTTGTCAGAATTGTTATTTTGTTTTGTTGCTGTGTGTACATCTGCCTGCACTTCGTAACATTATTGTAGTGTATATGCAATCAAAGATCATTCAAGAACATTAGAATTATGACAGGACATGTCGACTGTCAACAAAGTCTGACTGTGGCCGTGACTTCTCATAAACTAGACAGTTACTCTAGCGAACAGACAGAGGGATTGCCGATAACAGATTTTTTTAGCACAGAATTGAAGAATGACACTATATGATAAAGAGGTTATCACGCTTGTGTGCTTAGGGATGGTAAATATCCTGCCAAGGCTCACTAAATACAATGTTTATCCCTATTACAGGATATTTAGCATCCCCAAACACACTCGCGTGATAACCTCTATTTTCTGAAAATATATAATTGATATCCCACTCCTGATTCAAGTCTACATGGCTATACTCACATTCCCGTGTGTTCAGCAGGTCATAGCGACTGAGGGCTATGCTTTTGGCCAAGTAACATCCCTGTGGATCGAGAGCTACAATCATCTGCTCGGTTCTCCTATAAAGAATATAAAATGATAATTGGGTTGACACTGTAATATATGGACTCTTAACTCGTAAGAGTTATGTGCCCCTGACTGACACTTGGTGTCGCTGTAGCCAGCTTGTGGCAGTCGCCATTAAACACTCGACCTGTAGACTTGTGTTGGTCCTGCTCCCCAAACAAACATGACAGACACCACAGTGACAATAAAATACATTTTTGCAATATTTGTTTGTTTAATGCCACACTCAGCAATATGTTATCTATAGGGCAGGCACCTGTTGACATTCAAGTCTGGGCCAGACAAACCGGTGTAAAGTCTGAAAGTATACCCCCCCTTCAAAGTATACCCGGGTAGATTTTGGGAGCTCCCAGAATCTACCCCCCTTTCCCAGAATCTACCCCCAGGGTATAATCTGGGAGCTCCCAGAATCTTACCCTGAGGTATAACCTGGGAGCTCCCAGAATCTACCCCTGGTTATAACTATAATCTAGGAGCTCCAAGAATCTACTGCAGCCCTTACTTACTTACTTACTTACTTTGGAGATTTAACATGCACTTTCCGACTGATGCGTATTTCGCACACGGGCCCGGCCAGGCTATTTAATGTGTTTCCGAAAGGGGCGAAAGTGGTGTGTGCAACCCAAGAGGGGGATTTAGGGGTTGCTCATATAGAATTTGGGAATTTTGAGATTTGGAATAGATGCCGATGGGGTTGGGGAGGAGAACTAAAGGAGCTGGGTATGGTGGATGTTTGTTTGTTTATGTGATTTTGATTTGGTAGATTATTGTGTTTTTAGATGCGTTTTATTAGTTCCGTTTTGATTAAGAATACGCCTAAGGCCTTGAAGTTTTCAAGTTTATTTTGTGGGTTTAGTATTGCTTCTAGAGTGAGAGCCTTGTTTAGATTGAGGGTGGTTTGTAATGCGGTTCGATGTGTTAGGTAGTGTGTGCAGTGGATGAGTGCGTGTTCTGGGGTTTCTAGTTGTTTGCAGTGTGGGCAGTTACCTGTAGTGTGTTTTTTAATTTTTTTAGGTGGTTATTTAGGTTGGTGTGTCCTGTTTGGAGTTTGGTGATTACTCTGTCGATAATCTGTTGATTTTGATGGATGGAGAATTTTTGGTTTGGTTAGTGGTTTGCTGAGTACTTTTTTGATTTGGCTATTTGAGTTTAGATATAGGTTATGCCATTTTTTGGTGATTTTTTGCTTGTTTACACTTTTAATTTCTGATTTCGAGATGGGTAAGTTTAAGCTTATTTCTGGGATTTTGAGGGATAGTTTAAGTGCCTTATCAGCGTTTTCATTACCGTATATTCCTACTTGGGCGGGTATCCACAAGAAGGTTATTTGTTTGCCTGCCTTAGTTAGGTCGTTGGAGCTTTTAAGTATTTGATTTATTAATTTAGGTCGTTTTTTGGTATTTTTGTTTTGGAGGGCTTGCAGTCCACTTAGGGAGTCGGTAAACAATATTTATTTCTTCTTTGCATGTATAAAACAACATTTTGAATTTTTGATTCGATAACAATTTATTACCGGTATTATCTACACCAGGATAGATTTTGGGAACTCCCAGATTATATCCCCTGGGGTTAGATTCTGGGAAAGGGGGGTAGATTCTGGGATATGAATGTTTTAAAACTAATTAGATGTGTACTGAATAGGCATTTATGTAAACTTAATCAGATGACAATGTTGTTACAGCAATTGACCAGGAGAGATCAAGACTGAGTTAGATGCATCCCCCAAAAGAAAACTTCAAGTACATTCATGAAATAAAAATGTTTAAATCAAACAGGGCTGCAGTAGATTCTTGGAGCTCCTAGATTATAGCTATAACCCGGGGTAGATTCCGGGAAAGGGGGGTAGATTCTGTGAAGTCCCCAAAATCTACCCCGGGTATGACGCGGCTTGGGATCGAACCCCGGACCATCCGCTCTCCGGGCCGACGCTCTATCACTAGACCATGGAGGCGGTCCATAGATCATTGAATTGTCTGGTCTAGACTAGCCTATTAACAGGTCGCAGCTACATAGCAAGTGTGCAGCTTAGTGTGGGTTAAACAGCAATCAAACAAGCAATCATACCTGGAGCAAACAAATCACTGATTCATACCAAATAAGAGTTGATATTCCAAGGCTGTCAAAATACTTAGTTTCTCATTATCAAGCTATTTGGACAGATTCCATTTGAGAGCATCTGACAGTGACAATGCTAACTTTCCATAGGTAAGGAGTATTCAAAGAAGTTCATCTTGCCTCATATCTTTCAGCACGTGAATATTGTTCAACACTGCAGCCAGCAAGATTACAGCTACATGTATATCACAATGACCTATAAATAATTCTGTCTGGACAAGATAAACTAGTGACTGAAATCATAAGTGGTAATCCATACAATCAGGGCCTGCTGACACAATCAAGCAAGTCACAAAACCTGAGTAAATGATCCATTTCAGTAGACTCTTTTGACAAGTTGTCTCCCTTGGATTGTAACCACAGTTATAGTGTCTGCAGGGATGTATGTAGGATTCTTAACTAAGTGCACATGACAGGCAAATTGGGAAATATCATGATTTTGTTCAAAATTGTCTTTTTTAGTTCGTAATAATGTCCTAGCGACTGATTCACGACAACCATTGTCTGAAGAACATTTGATTTAAAAGGCTCATTACCCTGTAGCCATGACATGTGCATGTCTCCATAACTTAATTGTCATTATGTTTTAGGCGCCAATCCCCATTGTTAATCCTCACCACTATTTCATTGTATATTGACTGTCAGCCAACCTGGGCTACTATATCACTTCCCGTTAATTACTGTTATTTATAGTATGACGTTTATTGCCTTAACGGTTCATCCCCTGAGCTGTGTAGGTTCATCACCCCCAGAAGTCCCATGTCCAGAGAAACGTCATTGTCTTTCCATTGTTGTTCATTACTATATATGTGTTACCATTACACGGTGTTAGTCATGCTTGGTTTTCCGAGCGTTGGTGTAAGGACGACCTCGAGCAGGATGTGCCGCTCGTAGGAAACATCCTGAGGTTGAGCTGGAGCTCCGCTCACCTCATGTATGCCTGAGCTGGAAGGTCCGCTCATCCCAGTGTTTATGTTGTCAGAGCAGGTATTCCACTCATTGTGCAATTGTTGTTTATTGTTTACATGTTGTGCATAAAGCATTCCAGGACAGTGAGGGGCGATCTGGTAGCCTAGTGGTTAAAGCGTTCACTCGTCATGCCGAAGACCCGGGTTCGATACCCGACATGGGTACAATGTGTGAAGCCCATTTCTGGTGTCCCCCGCCGTGATATTGCTGGAATATTGCTAAAAGCGGCGTAAAACCATACTCACTCACTCACTCACTCCAGGACAGTGATGTCGATTTTATCCCTTATTCCCCCAAGAGCTAATTCCCCATTGACATTATCTTAAATTCAGAAGTATTTTGAGATTACATTTAATGCAATAATATAAAACACAGTCTGTTCCTATGTATTGGTCTTGCTTTGAGTTACAGGTTACAAAACCATCAAATTAGTTATTAAATATACATATATTAAATATATATTAAATTACATATTAATACATTGTAACATATCAGCCTCTGAGCAGGTCGAGTTAATCCCTGATCTGCCACCCTGTTCATCCTTGATCATGTATGGTAAGGGATTACATCCCATTAGTAAGACATCCCATTAGTAAGACATCCCATTAGTGAGACACCCATTGTAAGACAGTGGAGTAGGTGGGATTAATTAAACAAACACAGCCAGTCTACCCACTTAACAATGGTCACAGCCCATGATTAGCGGATAAATTAATAAGAGTAGGCCAGTAATTCTGTTTGAACATTCTCAGGAAATAAATGAGTTAGGAGCTAGTAGGAGCTTACTCAAAAAGTTGAGATGCATGTTTTGTTAAAACTTACTTATTACACATAAAAATTCCCCCTAGTCTGTGAATTAAAATGTTGAAGAAATAAAGTAAAAGAGGGTATCAAGCATCTTGAGTCATTTCTTTTGTCTATAATAAGACAAGTCCATTTTCATGATAGGGGTTAATCACCTAATTAACATGTGCAACCAGGTATGACATTACCAAGACAAACTTGTTATGGATGACAGGTATGACATTGTTGTTTAAGGTGTCTCACAACTGGGCTGTCTTACTAATGGGAGGAGATCAGATAATGTCTTATACTTGTTCAGTTGGTTCATGAGACTGACTGCATAAACAATGACAAATATATGACAAAATAAACAAGTAGAATTAGGCCAAATAAAAACAACAACAAGATTTTATCAGCGCTGTGCGTAAGAAATGGGAATAATGCACAGAGAAATCTTAATTACAACCAAAACAAACAATTAATCCTCTCTCGGTATCATATCGTAATCATACTTCCACGATTGTGTGACCTTAAAGTTTGTGTTTCATTCATTAGTAAGTACTTATGTGGAACTTTAAAGAGATTCGTTTGAGTTTTATTGACCACATACATTGTATTTTTTGCCAATGTTGTTTGTAAATCAACTAGTAAAAAATTAAAGGCCATATGAATGCATACACTTTGTTAACAGTGACTTTGTATGAATACAAATGTCATTGGGACATTTCCATGACTTGATTTACTTACATTCTTTTAACATTATCAAATTTGAAAATATATTAAGGACACTTTCGATTACAATTAGTCAATGTCTCAAAATATGAACTGATCTGAACCCTGCATTACTCCACATTACTCCAAAATATGTCTGTGGCAAGGGCTTTAATGTGACCATCATTCATTGCCTCTAGCTGACCATCATTCATTGCCTCCAGCTGACCATCATTCATTGCCTCTAGCTGACCTTCATTCATTGCCTCCAGCTGACCATCATTCATTGCCTCCAGCTGACCATCATTCATTGCCTCTAGCTGACCATCATTCATTGCCTCTAGCTGACCTTCATTCATTGCCTCCAGCTGACCATCATTCATTGCCTCCAGCTGACCATCATTCATTGCCTCTAGCTGACCATCATTCATTGCCTCTAGCTGACCATCATTCATTGCCTCTAGCTGACCATCATTCATTGACTCTAGCTGACCATCATTCATTGCCTCCAGCTGACCATCATTCATTGCCTCCAGCTGACCATCATTCATTGCCTCCAGCTGACCATCATTCATTGCCTCTAGCTGACCATCATTCATTGCCTCAAGCTGACCATCATTCATTGCCTCCAGCTGACCATCATTCATTGCCTCTAGATGACCATCATTCATAGCCTCAAGCTGACCATCATTCATTGCCTCCAGCTGACCTTCATTCATTGCCTCCAGCTGACCATCATTCATTGCCTCTAGCTGACCATCATTCATAGCCTCCAGCTGACCATCATTCATTGCCTCTAGCTGACCATCATTCATTGCCTCTAGCTGACCATCATTCATAGCCTCAAGCTGTCCATCATTCATAGCCTCTAGCTGACCATCATTCATTGCCTCCAGCTGACCATCATTCATAGCCTCAAGCTGACCTTCATTCATTGCCTCTAGCTGACCATCATTCATAGCCTCTAGCTGACCATCATTCATTGCCTCTAGCTGACCATCATTCATAGCCTCAAGCTGACCTTCATTCATTACCTCTAGCTGACCTTCATTCATTGCCTCTAGCTGACCATCATTCATAGCCTCTAGCTGACCATCATTCATAGCCTCTAGCTGACCATCATTCATTGCCTCTAGCTGACCATCATTCATAGCCTCTAGCTGACCATCATTCATTGCCTCTAGCTGACCATCATTCATTGCCTCCAGCTGACCTTCATTCATTGCCTCTAGCTGACCATCATTCATTGCCTCTAGCTGACCTTCATTCATTGCCTCAAGCTGACCTTCATTCATAGCCTCAAGCTGACCATCATTCATTGCCTCTAGCTGACCATCATTCATTGCCTCTAGCTGACCATCATTCATAGCCTCAAGCTGACCATCATTCATTACCTCTAGCTGACCTTCATTCATAGCCTCTAGCTGACCATCATTCATTACCTCTAGCTGACCTTCATTCATTGCCTCTAGCTGACCATCATTCATTGCCTCTAGCTGACCATCATTCATAGCCTCATTGTGAAGTCAATAACTAGACTGTCTAGTCCAGATATGCTTATTTACGGACTGCTATCATATAGCTGGAATATTGCTGAGTGCGTCGTTAAACAACAAACAAACATTCAGTGGCTGGTTATTCAAACCATCAATCATGTAAAGAACAAGAAGAAGCAACGTGTACACATCACCCCTAATCATTGCAAATGTAAATTCAAGTTCTTTGTGAAATATGTAAAGTTTTACCTGTCAGCTTGAGATTTGGGGATGATTTCTACTGTGGCCCCAAACGGTTTACCTATCAACATGTTAGGTGGTCGTCGTGAGTTTGGCCTAAGTTCAAAAGTAACGATCACTGTTCCAGCATCAGGGTCAATGTCAACATAGCGACCTCTAGGTTTCTTCAGCTTGACCTTCTTGACAATTGCATGACCTACCCAGATACTTGAAGTACTGTCAGTTAAGTCCTTGTCCTGAAGCTTGTGCCTTATACACAGATAGTCAAGAGCGGCATAATTCAAGTTACTGAAGTTACTTTCTTCCAGCCTCATTTTTTCCAGCCAATCCACACTCTTCCCACCTATTGCAATCTGGCGATTATCACAAAATTTCGAATCCAGACTGATGGTGCCTAAATATACTGTTTTTCTACCAAGTCGTTTCCTAATAATTGTAACTTCAGCATCATCAATGACAACTGTTTCTTCACCACCAACAGAACTTGTGGCACTCTCCATCTCAAGAACAGGAAGCCATGCATTTTGGTACTCATCAATGCAGCTGATATTACGACCTTTCACTGGTACAGTGACATACTCTGCAAATGTAACCACTGGATCATCCATGTGTGTGAGACACAGATCAAAGTTGTCACAAATATGAAACAACTGCACATATGGAGCTGGTACACCTCTGTCCGGTGCAGCATGGGTTTGAACCCGGACTACCTGCCCGGGGCAGAAGGAGTAACTGAATTCACTGCAGTGACTAGCCAACTCGTCTTGACCACTAGGAACCAAACTTTGTTTTCCTGTCCTGAGGAATCTTGCTGATGGGATGTTTAAAGAATCTCCACTAGAAACCAACCTTTCTTCTCCTTCAGTGCAAGATCTTCCAGAATCATTTTCTTCCGATCTTTCAAACACTGCTTCTAAGAACTGAGCAAACTCGGCTGAAGGTACATACATTGTGTGTATGTTTGAGTCAATGAGAATCCCAGGAGATTCTGGTTGGACTGCATGTCCTCTAGTTGGCTCCTCGTACCTATAGAACCGCTTGTTCCAGAAACAGAGAATCTTTTTCTTGCCTGAAGGTAGTGTTGTTACTTGGGGCTTTCTGGAACAGTCTAATAGGTTAAGTGGCAATTCCAATCGCCCATATGATGCACCTCTAAGAGATGGAATACACAATGTTACCTGCCAGGTATTTACATTGTCAACTATGGCACTAAATGTACATGGAGTCTTGGCCAACTTCTTGCACTTTCTTGTAATCCTGTAAGAACGGTCAAATTCCTTTTTCCTCTGATTCTTTTCTGTCATCTCCGCACAGATTTTTGAAACTTCTGCTTGTGTGTATGGAGCTTCCTTCTCATCTAATAGAGCATGGACGAGTCTGTGGGTAATCAGGTCTGTGTATCTTCTCAGTGGAGATGTGAAGTGAGTGTACGTGAACAGGTTGAGTGAGAAGTGGCTAGTGTTTTTCTTCCCTTCTGAAGAGCACCTGTATGCTTCTGTTTTCATGATATTCATCCAGTGTTCAATGGCAAGGCACTGCAATGGATGTAGTAAGTCACAGCACATCAAATATCTCACTTTCTTGAAATCTTGTGAATCTGCAGCTCCCTGTATTTCATCCCATATAGTCTTCTGGACTGAAATATCTGTTCTGTCTCTATCATTGTTTGACTCCAACTGATTGGCAATATCACAAACATATCCATCAATGATAGGCCTACTCTGTAGTTTTACAAGAAAGTCCTTAACATGTCCCTCTCTATTAAGCCAAAGTTTGAGCGTGTCCTCAGGGGGATCTGCTTGGCATCGTAGAGGCACACAGTGTCTGAAAGAATCCACCAAATATGATGCAATGAACTGATTTGTTTTTATCATAAATTCCTCAACAAGATTACGAGCATCAATATCCTGATTCTTGTCTTCGTCATAAATAGACATAGCATCTTCAAAAGAAACTTCAAATCTTGAATTCCCTAATCGTTCTTTACGAAAGTGCTGTGCCAGGATGTCAAGGGTTCGAATGCTACTTCTCAGTGTCTGTGAACACTCAAAACTTGCAGGGTCATCAATAATTGCCTGAACTTCTTTGTATGAGAAGTTTCGACATGATCTGATGAATTTCCTTGACACATAAGGCTTTTGAAGCATTTTCCCCTTTTTGTCCACCTCAAAGAACACAGAGATAGCAAATCTATCACAATTCGGGAGCAGACTCAGCATGTTTTGGCTTAGTGGTTCTGGCATCATATGGCATCCACTCTTCTCTGAAGCAAAGTAGCTTGTGGCTCTTTTCTCTGCCTCTTTGTCAACTGCACTTCCTTTCTTCACCACTGATGTGACGTCTGTTATATGGACACCAACCAACAAGATATCACGCCCTTCCCTTTTGGTTTTCCAGACACTTAGAGCATCATCCAAAACCCTTGAATTGGCATTATCAATTGTAAATACCGTCATGTGTCGTATATCTTCTTCCTCTGTTGGTGTCCGAATATCAGGACTTCCTGTCATCTTCAAGACATGTGCCAGCGTCTTCTTTCCATAGTAGCGAGGCACTCTGAAATGAGTTTTCAGAACATCCAGGCCACCTTGCAAGTTTTCTCCACAGTCAAGTACTTGAACAACAGCACCCTGGGGATAAGTGAATTCGGGCCGCCATAACAAATACACAACTAGAAAAATGTAACATCTTCTTTTTTCAGGGACAATTTCAAAATACTTGTCAAATAAAAGTCGTCCATCATCTGCTCTTTTGTATACATCAATGTAATTCTGTTTTTCCAACTCTCTGGAGCGATGCCGCCAGACACTAATTTTGGGTACACTGTTGCATATTGGATTCATTAAATAAACTTCCTTGCTGTTGGAAGTACAAGCCATAACAGTGAACTCTGTTTCTTTAAACTTGCTCCTCAAAACGCCTGCAACCCGGCCATACATTTTATTATTGTCGCCATCTTTGTCACTATCATTCCCAAGTGGTCCCCCATGTAAAATTTCAACCACAACTTCATCTTCATTGAATGTCCTCCCACATTTTCCTCTGCCATGAATCTCAATTTCTTCATGGATATCCGCCTCTTCAAGGACTTTACAAATAGCCAAGTGTGGTCCTTCCAACTTTATCTGGCATCTCTTGTACTTGTCAGGGCGGTTATTTAACAGTTCCTGGAGTTCTTTTATACTATGTTCCTGCCTTACTAAACTCACTGGCTCGCTAGGTCTGTGTATGATATCAAGGCTCTCTCCAACAATGATATCAAACATGTCCTCATCATCCTCATGTCTCCTATTACTTTCATCAAACCAGGAGACAGGTGAAGCCTCTTCCTCCTCTGCCATATCAGAGTCTGATCCACCACCTGCATCATCTTCTTCTGTATCCCAAGTGTCCCGAAATGATGGATGTTCCTCAGCTTCTCTCTTCCCAGGTGTATCTTCCCTGACCTTCTTTTTAGGATCCCTTTCAAGGTTTTCATATATCTTCCCCCAGTAAAAATTGTTTAGATCTAATGCTGCTTTATATTTGATCTTTTTTTTCTTTTTTCCTCTTAGTTTTGTCTTTTTATCTTCTTCCTCATCAGTCCTGTTACATGTGATTGTGGCTGGTACTGATTCATCATCTGTGTGTAGTAATGGGAAAAGCTTAATAAGAAATTAGACATGCAACAATAATGTTTAACATGGGCTTAAAGAGGAAATAAAACACATTATACTAGCAACTAGAGAATCGGAAAAAGACAGGACAAAGTAATTGGCATACAATTCTACACTTGGCACCAAATGTCATAGGAAAGATATCAATACACTTAATAAAAACAATATTTCAAATATTGCTAACAATAGTGCAGTTCCAATTAATGTATTTGATTGATGACTGTTGGATTCAGTTTCAAACCAAAGAATCAGTAATGAAATTTATGATAGATTATTTTCAAATGCAGTACGTCGTCCATGCTTTGAACAGCATTGCAGTTATATGATGGCATGTCAGCTCAATGTGGGAGGAAAGCCCATAGTGATGCAGGTCTCAGACGTTAACCACTTTGATGCTGGTCTGGTACTAGAATAATAATAGGGGTGAACCGGGATTCGAACCCACCATCATAGGTTTTTCTGGCCTCAGACAACTGGGCCACCCATGCCCCCTGATAAGAAGAGATCGGACATGGAGGACAACCTATGTACGAGGTGTCCCGGAAAACTGACTCCCGATCTCTACACTTTTTCCAAGCATCATGAAGGTCTAATTATTTTGCAGATCTCTAGCTGTTTCACAAATAAATTACAATAACAAGCACATAAACATTCTGGAATACCCTATGAGTCATTACAAATTAATAGTTTTCTCATGAATATCAATCAATAGGTCAGATTTTTTCATCACAATATGGTTGAAACATTGGTGATGTGAGCTTAATTTTTAACTAACTAACTAACTCACTAAAATGATATCAAATGACAGGTTATCATGGTCATGTGTAGGTTAATGAAACCTATATTGTTAATTTAATATAAATAAATCGCAAGTGAATCCTTGATTTGATTCTTGATTCTTTTTGAGCTTATACCCCCATGAACTGATTTCCTATTTAGGCCATGCCTAACAGTCTACTGTTTCCTGATTGGCTGATAACAGGATGGGTGAAGCTTGTGCTGCATCCTTGCACTGAATGATGTCACTGTTTTGTGTTAATGATTAACTATGCAGTCTGTGAAGTTATTAGTGTTGGTGTGTTTGACTTCAATATGTTATCTGCATTTCGGGCATTTATATAACCGTAAAACTGGTGGGCACACTTCTTTTTGTGTTTATACCTCCATAAATGCAAAAAATTGAAGTCAGAATTTGATATTATATTATATTATATTCAAAAAGCATGTATACATGCATCAATACAGGGCTCGTACACTGCTGATACACTACTAAAAAACTGCTAGTACATGCACGCCCACCCGCATATATAACCACATTAATTGAAGTGATATTAGTGGTACCTATTGCTGAAGCTTGTCCTTGTTCTTCCTGCTTCCCTGCACAACTGCTGCTGCTGCTGCTGCTGCTGCTGCTGCTGCTGCTGCTGCTGCTGCTGCGTGTGTCTATTGGTTGCTCCATCTTCCATCAGAATCTGCCTGTAAAACTGAAATTCCATACTGCTCTGTCATGACTGAGGCCATAAGATTGTTCCTGTACAAATAGAGAATCTCACCCGAGTGTCTTTTGATATCAAATATATCAACACAGGTTGATAAGAGTGAACAAAGAGTTTTTCCACTTTTATCAACGAGTGTGAGATTCTATTTATCATCCAACATTATTTTCCAACTTTTTCAGTTTGTGGACAATAATAAGCGGTGTCTTAAGTGTAAAAAGTACAGCTAACAGCTTCATAGCAGAGCCATTAGTGATGTCATTTGATTGTGACATTATGGTAACCAATGACGTCACAATGGTCTGCAAAGCATTGGGAGGCAATTTCATTGCAGCGATATCTACAATGTAGATATCGCTTGATCTCACCCAAGCGATATCTCCTGTGGCAGCCAGATTTGGATGATAAATATTGACCTTTTTCACACTACGCTACTTCCGGTTTGAAAGCGAGGCTTGGAGAGCAGAAGGTGAAGGCTGGATAGCACATGAAACACATGGAGATGTCAACAAGGCACGCAATCGGGACAAACTGTGACAATTTAACCATCCCGGTACATTTATCGTAAGTATTGAACATTATTCTTATTCTTATCATTGACAAACTATTCTACTGTTATCTGGTCTCCTTAAAGTTGAGTCTGGCCGTTCTGTTGTGATTTCATTTTAAAATATCCATGACCACCTGGTAACTCCCAGTGCAGTTTATGGTAGCTGAACAGACTTAATACAAATGCTACTGAGATCTTGTAAAGAATAATTCATTGTTTACACACCATCAAGCCAAACTATTTATTGTGAGTTTAAATAACTTTGCGGGTTGTATTTGAAGTCGAAATATTGACCTTTTGACCATATCTAGATATAAGTCAGAAACTAACTAAATTGATATGTTGATATAATGTATCAAATTGTAACCTACTGAGAATTTACAATCGTAACAAATCAGAATTTTGCATCAGTTGCGTATTTGATGTAAATTGTAATGGACTCAAATGCATTCCAATAAAATATTAGACCTCTAGATCTACTTGTGCTGTCGATATTGTGAAAGTTGTTATTTTGATTCTCAATGTTGACAGATTAGATACCATGAGGTGTAATATTTCAACGGAATTATTATATAAAATGTGTTTAAATATTTGAAGTAAAGATACAGTTTGATCTGCAATTTTGTAAACAATATTTCTACCAAAATGATATTTACTTTACTGTACCAAATTAATTATGTCATGAAATGAACAAAAACCCAACTAATTAATGCCCAGTAAATGTTCAATCTACATGTGATCTTTATATAATTTACACAAACAGATAACTCTTTAACAGTTTGTATTCAAATATTTCAAATGCATAAATTGATATTGACATTACTATAAACTTAAAGTATAAACAGAATTATTTTTAATTCCAATGCGTATTGCAATCATAACTCATTTATTCTCTTTGTTTAATTGTGAAACCCGTCTGGCTTTATGTCCACAAACATGTTTTGAAACTTTAAAAACAAAATGACTTCTTTTGTGTAAGCAATTGCCATGTATTATTGATTATTAATCATATCAATTTATATGTAAGAATATAGTTGTGCTTACTGTGTCATTTTGCAATAATTATATTGTTATGATGTAATATTTTACTATTGTTTACAATCTTTAGAACTTTAGTTTATTTCAATCAAGTCAAGTGGTGTGATAATTTTGATAATTTTTATAATTCAATCAAAACGAGAAATATAAAAAAATATAAATATATGGAAGAAATTTGTTTTCCTTGTCAAATAATGATGATAGCATGAGTTTATCTCATCTTGTGATGTGACAAAGTTAATATTTTCAAGTCAAGATATCAACTTTAGTAAACAACAAGAAGAGATAAACATTATATTTGACAAAATAAATTCAAGTCTTATATTTTCTTTGTGATCTTCTTCATGACCTTACCATAGTGTCAATGAGGAGACTGACTGTAGGGATGACAAAACGTGATATTTCACCTGATTTTAATAAAAATCTTATTTATTTCACTCCAGCGAAAGTATGTTTTCAGCATGGTCAGACTAAACAAAGTATGTCATGATTAAATACATACCGGTAATACAAATATCAAAACGTGTTTCATTAAAACAAGATTAAATTTCTGTGTGACATTTATATAAAGAGCTGTAGTACACTGTCATTAAATTGATGCGTCTGTTGAGTTTAACCGTTTACACAGAATATACTGTTTGAGTTTTTGACATATCAGATGAATTGATGCCTTCAAGATTGTTCTCAAGTTGCATGTAATGTTACACACTGTGATTAATTGTCCTTAAATTTCTCTATTTGAGATGAATGTTGTTTTCTAAATAAGCACTATTTTGAGAGAAGGTGAATATGCATTGTTTATAAAATTTTTTTATTGAAATAGAAATATTATTACAATATTATTGAATTATTCATTTCAGGCCAGCGAGTCAACACAATGAAGTACTAGTATCCGGTGACGGATGTCTGGAGGAGCTTTCTGCTGACAGTAACACACTGGTTACAATGTGCGTCCTGTCAAAGGACGAGGAAGTGAAAAAACATTTTCTTTTAATCAACAAATGTGCTTCCTGTCACATTTCTCTTAAATAGGACGAGGAAGTGAAAAACCTTATTCACTCACAAAACAACATGGCCAATATTTATCAGACACTAAAAAAGCACATTGTACCATTTGTTTACAAGCAAGAAATTTATTTTCTCCTGGAATTTAATAAGGTGCTTTTGACTGACAAAGACACCTGGTCCATGTTAAGTTTTGAAAACTTATATTGTGAGAAATAAAGACATGAAAATTTCGGTTTGTTTTTCTTTGTTAGATATAAGAAATCCAGATTCTTCCATCAACATAATTTGTACCCATACATATATTTTATCTTGGCTTGATTACCAATTGAAGTTGATTCTTTTTTATCTTTTGTTATTTTAACTGTACTCATATCTGATCAAGACATTTTCAAAATATTCAGGATAAATGTATTAGTGGCTTCCTTTTGATATACAATTACCTATCATCATACAGGATTAGGTGAGGGTGTTCAAGAAGTTGGTGGTTGTATCAATTCTTATATTTCTTCAATTTCATGCATTATTTATATTTATCAATTTTTAGTTTCCTTTTAACTTATTTTAAACAGTTCACACATTATTACTTTTGTCGTGCATGGTGCAATCTCAATCGGCAATAATTAGTTAAGTAAGTGATGTTTGAAGAACAAGTAAAGTATCATCTGTCATTGTACACACTGAATAGAGTTATCGCCCCTTCTGAATATTTATTTTGACACACGAATTATTTTGTGAACTAATTTCATTTACATCGTAATATGTTAAGAGGAAACTCATAGCAGAAAAAGTGTCTTTTGTCAACTGGACTCATGGCAAAACGATAGTGCGTTGTGCAGCAAAGAACCACTATGAAACGTGAAATAAACATGATCGACGATCTCGAGTTTGCCAAGCCACACACTGACTGAGCAAATTTGCAAAAGTACACTGACGTGTTTCATGTTATGCGGTTCATTTGCAATACAAAACTTCTGTCATTGAATGTACTGTCACATTGCACCTATATGCCGACGAGGTTATGATACCATTTTTTGTTTGTTTGAAATGTCCATCAGAGAAATGCACAACATGCTGTCTGTTCCCTATCAGCTGATGAGACTCACATTGCATGGAGCTATGCTCTCCAAGGCGTTTGCTTGTCACGCCGAAGACCCGGGTTTCGATTCCCGACATGGGTACAATGTGTGAAGCCCATTTGTGGTGTCCCCCGCCGTGATATTGCTGGAATATTGCTAAAAGCGGCGTAAAACCATACTCACTCACTATGCTCTCCAAGCCTCGTTTTCGATCCAAGATGGTGAAAATGTGAAAAAGGTCAATACATATATATAGTTCTATAGTTTCTCCACTCATCATAACACAAAGTGAGTGAGTTTGGTTTAATGCCTCAACAGTACTCCAGCTACCGTATTTGATGTAATAAGCGCCCAGGGCGCTCTCAAAATTAGAAATAGGAGGCTCTTATCAGAACATTATTTGGGTGGAAAAAACAGAGTTGAAAGATAAATTTTGTTGTTTATGCTGACAGACTGAAATGTTTATATGCGACAGATATACTTTTCCAGAATTTAATTAAGAATGCATATAAGACACGAGTGCGTATTATATGCAAATAAATAAGTCTTGTGTACATTGATCAATCGGAAGGGGTGCTAATTGGGATTGTTCACTTGCCAATATATTAGCAAATATCGCCTTGGGCGCTTATTAGAGCGGGGCGCTTATTACATCGAATACGGTATATCATGGCTTGTCAGTTTGATGTGGGAGGAAAGCCTGAAGTGATGCAGGTCTTAGACATTTACCACTTTTGTGAAACCAACAAGCATGGATATGATGCAAGAGAAAACTTGGATTCAAACCCAGAACCATTGAAATTCTGGCACACCTTAGGGACACAAGTGTGCACCAATATGGGCCACCTCCTTGTATAAGGCCGCCTCCATTGTCTAGTGAATAGAGCATCTTCCCGGAGAGCGGAAGGTTAGCACTGAGATCCCCTGACCACATCACACTAAAAGACGTTGAAAGATGATTCTTGTTGTTACCCTGCCTGGTGCTGGATGAGGGTGTGGGTATGGATGAGGGTGCAGATGTTGGCATGGGTGTGTGGGTATGGATGTGAGCTGGGGTTTCGTATGGATGGGTATGGATGTGTATGGGTGTGGATGGGTGTGGGCATGAGCGTGGATGGGTGTGAGCATGAGTGTGGGTATGGGTGTGGATGGGTGTGAGCATGAGTGTGGGTATGGGTGTGGATGGATGAGAGCATGAGTGTGGGTATGGGTGTGGATGGGTGTGGGTATTGGTGTGGATGGGTGTGGGTATTGGTGTGGATGGGTGTGGGCTAGGTGTGGGTATGGGTGTGGATGGGTGTGAGCCTGAGTGTGGGTATGGTGTGGATGGGTGAGAGCATGAGTGTTGGTATGGTGTGGATGGGTGTGAGCATGGGTGTGGGTAGGGGTGTGGATGGGTGTGGATTGGTGTGAGCCTGAGTGTGGGTATGGGTGTGGATGGTTGAGAGGCTGAGTGTGGGTATGGGTGTGGATGGGTGAGAGCATGAATGTGGGCATGAGTGTGGGTATGGGTGTGGATGGGTGTAAGCCTGAGTGTGGGTATAGGTGTGGATGGTTGAGAGCCTAAATGTGGGCATGGCTATGGGTTTTGGATGGGTGAGAGCATGAGTGTGGGTATGGGTGTGGATGGGTGTGGATTCGTGTGAGCCTGAGTGTGGGTATGGATGTGGATGGGTGAGAGCCTGAGTGTGGGTATGGGTGTGGATGGGTGAGAGCCTGAGTATGGGTATGGGTGTGGATGGGTGAGAGAATGAGTGTGGGTATGGGTGTGGATGGGTGTGAGCCTGAGTGTGGATATGGGTGTGGATGGGTGAGAGCATGGGTGTGGGTATGGGTGTGAATGGGTGTGAACATGAGTGTGGGTATGGGTGTGGATGGGTGAGAGCATGAGTGTGGGTATGGGTGTGGATGGGTGTGAACCTGAGTGTGGGTATGGGTGTGGATGGGTGAGAGCATGGGTGTAGATGGGTGCGAATTGGTGTGAACATGAGTGTGGGTATGGCTGTGGATGGTGAGAGCATGAGTGTTGGTATGGGTGTGGATGGGTGTGAACCTGAGTGTGGGTATGGGTGTCGATGGGTGAGAGCATGAGTGTGGGTATGGGTGTGGATGGGTGAGAGCATGAGTGTGGGTATGGGTGTGGATGGGTGAGAGCATGAGTGTGGGTATGGGTGTGGATGGGTGAGAGCATCGGTGTGGGTATGGGTGTGGATGGGTGAGAGCATGAGTGTGGGTATGGGTGTGGATGGGTGAGAGCATGAGTGTGGGTATTGGTGTGGATGGGTGAGAGCATGAGTGTGGGTATGGGTGTGGATGGGTGAGAGCATGAGTGTGGGTATTGATGTGGATGGGTGAGAGCATGAGTGTGGGTATGGGTGTGGATGGGTGAGAGCATCGGTGTGGGTATGGGTGTCGATGGGTGAGAGCATGAGTGTGGGTATGGGTGTGGATGGGTGAGAGCATGAGTGTGGGTATGGGTGTGGATGGGTGAGAGCATGAGTGTGGGTATGGGTGTGGATGGGTGAGAGCATGAGTGTGGGTATGGGTGTGGATGGGTGAGAGCATGAGTGTGGGAATGGGTGTGGATGGGTGTGAGCCTGAGTGTGGGTATAGCGTGGATGGGTGTGGATGGGTGAGAGCCTGGGTGTGGATGGGTTTGAGCATGAGTGTGGGTATTGGTGTGGATGGGTGTGAGCATGGGTGTGGGTATTGGTGTGGATGGGTGAGAGCCTGAGTGTGGGTATGGGTGTGGATGGGTTTGAGCATGAGTGTGGGTATGGCAGTGGATGGGTGTGAGCCTAAGTGTGGGTATGGGTGTGGATGGGTGTGGATGGGTGTGGGCTAGGTGTGGGTATGGGTGTGGATGGGTGTGAGCATGGTTGTGGGTATGGGTGTGGATGGGTGTGAGCCTGAGTGTGGGTATGGTGTGGATGGGTGTGAGCATGGGTGTGGGTATGGGTGTGGATGGGTGTGGATGGGTGTGGATGGGTGTGGATGGGTGTGAGCCTGAGTGTGGGTATGGGTGTGGATGGTTGAGAGGTTGAGTGTGGGTATGGGTGTGGATGGGTGAGAGCATGAATGTGGGCATGAGTGTGGGTATGGGTGTGGATGGGTGTAAGCCTGAGTGTGGGTATGGGTGTGGATGGGTGAGAGCATGAGTGTGGGTATGGATGTGGATGAGTGTGGATTCGTGTGAGCCTGAGTGTGGGTATGGGTGTGGACGGGTGTGAGCCTGAGTGTGGGTATGGGTGTGGATGGCTGTGAGCCTGAGTGTGGGTATGGGTGTGGATGGGTGAGAGCATGAGTGTGGGTATGGGTGTGGATGGTTGAGAGCATCAATGTGGGTATGGGTGTGGATGGGTGAGAGAATGAGTGTGGGTATGGGTGTGGATTGTTGAGAGCATGAGTGAGGGTATGGGTGTGGATGGGCGTGAGCCCGAGTGTGGGTATGGGTGTGGATGGGTGAGAGCATGAGTTGTGGGTATGGGTGTGGATGGGTGAGAGCATGAGTGAGGGTATGGGTGTTGATGGGTGAGAGCATGAATGTGGGCATGAGTATGGCTATGGGTGGATGGGTGTGGATGGGTGTGAGCATAAGTGTTGGTATGGGTGTGGATGGGTGTGGATGGGCGTGAGCATGAATGTGGGTAAGGTTGTGGATGGGTGAGAGCATGAATGTGGGTATGAGTACGGCTATGGGTGTGGATGGGTGTGGATGGGTGTTAGCATGAGTGTTGGTATGGGTGTCGATGGGTGAGAGCATGAGTGTGGGTATCGGTGTGGGTATGGGTGTGGATGGGTGAGAGCATGAGTGTGGGCATGAGTACGGCTATGGGTGTGGATGGGTGTGGATGGGTGTTAGCATGAGTGTTGGTATGGGTGTGGATGGGTGAGAGCATGAGTGTGGGTATGGGTGTGGATGGGTGAGAGCATGAATGTGGGCATGAGTGTGGGTTTGGGTGTGGATTGGTGTAAGCCTGAGTGTGGGTATGGGTGTGGATGGGTGTAAAATGAGTGTGGGTATGGGTGTGAGCACGAGTGTGGGTATGGGTGTGAGCATGAGTTTCGTGCTTACTGACGTTCTTTCGAACACATTATTTTTTCTTTTCTTATGATGTCTTTTCGTAACATTTGACTATTGATATTAATACTTTCGACCTTTATTTAACTGGCGTCTGTTTGTTTTGTATTTTGACCTTTATAAGTAACATGTAGTTCTTTATTCGTAATATTTGACCTTTATTGTGTACTTTTGTCCTTTTTTCAACTTTGTATTTTTTGACCGAATGGCCGCCCATACTATTACATGGGCGGATACAGCTTTTGTATCCACCCATGTATTAGACCCCACTTAAATGCACAACGTCCGTGATCAATATTGCGCTGGCCTCGATTCGACTGAAAGCGGAAGTAGTGACTGAATATGTTACGTCATATTGAATAAATCTTCACTATCGATCACGTCTCCGCTACACAATTCCTGGATATATATATATATCTTTAATAATTCATATTTCATAATTGCATATGGCCTGCAAGGTGCGTGACAATCTAACTCATACAAGGGGGCGTTTTTCGTTTTCATTTTCGTTGTTAACAATCAATATATATTTTACATATCACTATGGTCATGTAACGTGCGCTTTCATTGGATGCTTACCTTGGCATTCAAATCCATTAGCCAGATCCCCTCAATGTAACGGACTGTTCAGGTTCAAATGCACCTTCAGTAAATTCTAACGCCATGAACACGTGCGTGCATGTAAGGCAGACACGCAACTATTGAGACCCGGATATGTATCGCAGCCGTATTTGATTCGTTCAACTCAAACTACGGTAAACCGCTTGGGACATATCTGAGTTGTGCAGATGAGTGAGTGAGTTGGGTTTAGCGCCGCTTTTAACAGTATTCCGGTTATAGCGCGGCATGTCAGCTTAATGTGGAAGGTGTTGCAGGTCTCAGACGTTTACCACTTCGGTGAAACCCACGAGCACGGGTATGGTACTGACAAGCCTAGAAACATAATCGGGCCGAAGCGGGATTCGGACCCACAATCATAGGTTTTGGGCGTGCCCAAGGGACGCGAATCGCGGGGTTTTAGACGACTGGGCCACCCGTACCCCTTTGCAGAACTATGAAATCCATTTATCCTGACTCATGATCGCCCTTAATTTCATTAATTTTTCTTCTTCTGTCTGTTAGTCTGTTGATAGTCCAATTACTTCGCTTTATAAATTTCCTAGAAATGTTCGCGTTATTCCATTTTCTAGAAATGGTCGCGTTATTCCATTGCCAAGAGATGTATGCCATTTTTTTTGTTAATGTGTTTTTTTTCCAATAAATCTTAGACTGATGAGGCGTCTGCTCGATGATAACCAGCCTACTCATATTTTTACCCTGTTCCCCATTGTTGGAAAGTGTGTCGTCTGCTACCCCAGCTGGAGCCATCTGGTAACAATTAATCACAAGCATACAATACATTATAATACATCAAGATGGCATATATTGTTTTGTATATTGACAGCTGGTGATTGAGCCGTGATTGCTGCCAAGGGCGGTCACACGAGATACTGATTTCAGCGCAACCGTGTGGCCTTATGTGACGTGACAATGAACATTTTTCAAAGCCTTTGTACAACGACAACATGTGACTAATCGACTCCAAAATTTCATATTTGTATCTATGATATTAAATTAAATATATCGACTTTATTCGGTTCAATAAATTTACTAACAAATCTACCTATTGCGCATTGATCGAGTATCTCCTTTAGCTGTATGCGTAGGATAGGGCTTTATCACGCGTGACCTTGCAATGCTGTACATCGTAGATAAGATAAGATAAGATAAGATAAGATAATATTTTATTTGCGTGTCACGCGGTATAAAAATACATACATTCAAAGTACAAGACAAAATATATAATATACCACCCGGCCGGTTGGCCTATGAGACACGAGAGATAAAAAAATAGCTCAGTTTTATATGAAGAGATTATGCTAGTATCGTTTAGTGAGATACTTGTGGATCAGAAGTGCACTACTTACAATGCAAGTTGAAATTTTCTTCTTTTATACATAGCAGTAGCAACTGCGGCTAGGGGAATAGCTAGGGGAATCATTCTGCATAACATATATAAATTGGTCTTCTGGGGTTAAACTTCTTAGACAAGTATGTATTGGAGAAAACAAATGAGAATAGTCATATCGTAGATCAGAGTAGAATTCACATTCTGTGAGGAAATGTACTTCGTGTTCGACACACTGGCGGTCACATAACCTACATAAACGGAGGTGTAGTGGTGTCTTTGGACGGGAGTAGCGACCAACTTCAACCTCCAAAGGGAGAGAACTGCAGCGTAGTTTTGCCAAGGTACTACGGTGCTGTCTGTCTAAAACAGAGCGGACATAGGTCGACGTATTTAGAGTATTCTTAAAGAGTCTGAAAGTCCTCAACTTATTCCCATGTTCATGACCAGTGTCATTCCATAAATCACGTGACCAACAATCGGCGTCCTTGCATCTCAATGTGCGTGTGATTAGATGGAATTCACTAATAGAGAAATTAAACAAATCCATAGATGGAAGTTGTAGTGATATAAACATTGCGTTAACTGTCTTATCCCATGATTTGCGGAAGGTAAGAGACCAATTTCGAATCTGTGAAACAAGTCTAGATGGCGGAACAGAGTTGATCTTTCTGCAAAATCGGAAAACTTCTATTTTCTGTTTAGTAAGCTGAGCAGGCCAACTCATCTCGCCCGGACAGCTAAATTTGGAGTATATTTGCCCACTCCGAGAAAAAAACGACAAGCTTTATTTTGAACTGCGTTTATACAACTGAATTCTCGATTGCCAAAAATAACTGAGCCATATGATAAAATTGGTTGAACAAGATTATTGAATAGCGTATTATATACGTCATATGGCATTCCTCCAAATAGTTTAAATTTACTTATAATTACACCCAGAGCTCTACTCGCGGATTTGGCGATTTCTTTGGCTGTAGAATTCAAATTTAAGTGTTCTTCTAGCCATAAACCAAGATATTTGTATGATGAGCATATGTCAATGTTGTCATTGCCACACTGAAACTCAAATGATGTTCGTTTCACAGATGGTGGCCGGTAATGTACTACTTTAGTTTTGCTGGTATTAACTTGAATTCGCCATCTCTTACACCAATTAGCAACACAGTGAAGCATTGATTGTAATGAATGCTCATTTGGCGCAATTAATGCTATGTCATCAGCATACATCAAAAGACTGAGAAGACTACCACCAACGTCTACACCGCATTTTAGATTGTTTATCTCATGGGCCAGGTCATTAATGAATACTGAGAATAGTGATGGGGACAAGACACATCCCTGCCTGACACCGCTCTGTATATCAAACCCTTCAGTAAGCCGATCATTTACCGATACACGGGATACACTGTTGTCATATAAAGACTTTACAGCAGAATAAAATTTACCATTAATTCCTAACTTCATCAGTTTGTACCATAAGCAGTCTCGATTAACACGGCCAAAGGCCTTCATGGCATCAATATAACAGACAAATGTAGAGGACTTTGAAAATTTCCTGTTATTAATTACTGAAAACAAAGTGTATATGTGCTCAATAGTATTACGCTTACTTCGAAATCCATTTTGCTCCTCAGCCAATATGTCATTATCTTCTAGCCAACTTGTGAAACGAGAGTTTAGTATATCTGAATATATCTTACAGGGAATGGAAAGTAGTGATATACCACGATAGCCAAGGGGATCTCTGGGGTCACTACCCGGTTTCTTAATAGGCGTTATTATACTTTCATGCCAAATATCTGGACAAACATTATTCTCGAAGCAGTAAGTAAATATCCGGTGCAGAATGTCAACACAAGTCTCATTCTTAAGTGCCTCTGCAGGTATATGGTCACAGCCTACGGCCTTACCACACTTAGAGCGGCTAACAGAGCGTACTACCTCATCGCGTGATATAGGGGCCTGCAGACTGTTTACATCTACATCTACCTGAGGGGGGTCAACAACCATGCTGCTTAACTCGTCCTTGGTCTGATCATAGAAAGATTCATCAAATACACCCACTGGATCAGCGTTAAACAACGAGCTATACTCACATTTCCATGCATCTAAAACCCGCGACTTATCGGTGACAACCGTGTCTCCCTGGATTATCTCCCATGGAATGACAGAATCCCGATCGGAAGCTAAGCCAATCTTACCAATAAGTTTCCAAAAATCTCTGCAATTACTATCTTTGTATTTATGCAACAGTCGCTGCTGACGTTCTAACTGAAAGGAGCGTTTGAATTTTCTATGCAGCTTATCAAAAGATTTACGATTAGAGACAAAGGCGTGTTTTAATGCCCGTTTCTGAGAGTGAATGAGTATCTCCCTTACCCGAATAGCTCTTTTGCGCACTACCTTTGCAATGTATCGTATGTTATTCAAGGAGGGACAGATGCATAATCAAATGCGTTTACATCCATAGGCATAGACTGGTATTATATGTACCTATAAACCACTTCACAATGTCTCAGTACATAGCATTTAAAGAAAACCGATCCGTTAAACTCAAACACGTTTACTGTATAAGTGTTGGGTCCGACTTGGCCCGGGCTGTCAAATTCAACTTTAACACACACACACAGATGTATCATCAAATATGTTTATATCTATACAAAGTGGAGCCATACTCTCCACATCCAGTCATGGCCAAAATTCACTGTTACCTTATAGATTTAAATGTGATTGAACGTTGTATTTGTCATGTTAACTGTAACCTTTTGATCGAAATCCTAATCTTTTGTAAAAAGAAATAACTTACGCGTTTAGAGGCCTCCCAATCTTAAATCCTTGGTAGAAAACGAATGATTTGATGTAAAAGTATTACAACTGTTCGATAAATACTAGTAGTAGACGACACACATCATTCGATCAATGTAATGGTTTGATCTCGTTGTAGTGTACGTTTTGCAGCTATTTTGCTGAATAAATTGTAACTTAAACTGTCTATTCCAACAACAGGTAAAATGGGTTGAAGTTTTGGCATGTTTATATGGTGTCATAAGCTATGATCTTGTCAACCGTGTTTTGAATTTGTAAGAAATGTAAAAAAATATATATTTCAAGACTCACATATATGTTCACATTTATTGTAATGTGAATTTTTAAAATGTGTTTTTAACTTTCTCAATTATGTTTTGACATTTTACGCAATATTTATTTTAACATCAGATGCAGACCCTTGTCTGTTTTACATAAGATCAATCTTAGAACTGTTACTCATATAGTACATGTACTTACATCGGAGGTACCACTTAGGTTTTCGTACCTTAACATATGCACATGCACATGTTTTTGCAAGAAAAACACCTTCCTGCACGCAAAATTGAGTTGATACCATTAATGTTTGGTTTCACAGTTCAGGCATCGTCTTACAATACGCTAACTTGATTATTCGATCACACTGAATTTAAATTGAGAAATGTTTCATCTTAACTACAAGTCCTGTGTCTCATCGACCCTTCTCATAGCGTCCGTATATGTACGTTAAGTGTGAAATTAATCCAAATTACACCTGTACTCAGCTTGCTTAATTGCCCCCTGTGTAATTGCAATCAAGTAGGTATTGCGTAATCAATCAACCATTTGCCCTTAATTAGCTGTCCCGAGCTTTTAGTGGTAGTTACCGTGGTAGCCTACAGTTTCATTGATAACTTATGCATTTGTTGAGGCTCATCAACAAAACCAAAATATTGTCTTTTTAACTTTCGGTAACATGTC